ATTTATGGCAGAATGAAGCATAATCCACTCCTTGAATTGCATTCCTCTCTTTACACTAAATTTGAATTATTAAATATGAGATCTATAATAGCTGCAAAATGCCACACATTAACAGGGAAGATTTCTATTAATTTGCTTTGTCGGGTTCACTGAAGCAAAGTAGTGCAATTTGGACTGTAAGTGGCTGTGAAATGCCATGTCTGGTGGCAGAAAGTGCTTAGTAATGTGGGGTTTTGTGAAGTTTTATTTAGAAGTTGTTAAAAAAAAAAAAACTTTTTAATGCACAGGGGGATGGTTAAAGTGGAGCCTGAATATGATGACAATATGGTGACTTGCAGTCAGATGGTGTACGACTGTTATGCCTCCGAAAAACCAAACCAAGTAAGATTTCAGTTGACACCACATTCACTTTATGCAACTAATATTTACTGCACTCTTGGTAGTCTTTGCTTTAATGTTTGTTAGGAAAAAGCTGAATATTCTGTTTTTCCTTCTGTTCATTGTGTAGGCATCTGGTTCGTCGTCCAACAGTGGTATTTCCAGCAACTATATGATCTATGAGGATATGCAGTCCCTGGTCACAGTGCTTGATTCTGAAATGGGCCAAAGCATGCGTGTATACGGAAGCACTTTTCTGTGGTTCATTCCATTTGTCTGTTCCATAATGGAAATTCCAGAGCTCAACGCTTCCTATATTAGTGAAGTCATCCACTATCTTTGTGATAAGATACGAGAAAATCGATGCATGCTAACCGGACAAACAAGTGTGTGCGATAAAGTGACCGAGTTCTTCATTCGTATCCTTATTCAAATTGTTGAGCTACACTCTACTGAAGGGCGAATGGGAATACTTTCTCGCTGTGCCCGTAAGTGGGTGGAAGAGATCGTCTTGTGCATCGTCCTATCGGATGAACCACATGCACCACCAGACAGGATGGGTGGGATTCACGGTGTCAGTTCAACCTCATACAACCTTGGGGTAGATGGAAGACTGCCTGCATCTGGAGGTGGCATTGGTGCCATAATTCGTGGCTGCATGAAACTGATTCGACTGCTGCTGAAAGAAGGGATAAGGAGATCTGTCCAAGACTCGACCCACTTTTTGAATCTGCTTAACAAGCAGTTGCGTGTTGCAAACAAACGATGGAATCTAACACGTTCTGAATCTGATGAGCTTCAAAAGTGTTTGTTAAGAGTTGTCCGGTCGATGCCAGAAAGACCTGATTCTCCACTCCCTGTTGTTCCACCCTCATGTGCACCATCAGTGGAGGCAGCTACAAACACGGTTATTTTCAGAAATTCAGTGCCAACCCTGCATCAGCAACAACATGAGGACCAGGAGGCAGGTCCGAGCAGAGCAGGAGATGCATCTGCTTTTATCAAAGAGGAGCCACTTGGGAATTATGGAAATGACATCTTTGAGGATTTCTGCAGCGGTCTTGGGTTAAAGGCTAAGAAGGAACCCCCTGACCCAGTGTCAATTTCAAAGCTGAGACCAGTTGTTCAGTTGAAATGTATCAAACCAGATCTGGGTAAAGTGCAGGAAATTCGATCCAGATTAAATGAGAACCAAAATTTGTCAAAGATCAAAGCCATTGCCAAACAAAAACCTGATGAGTCCTTAAAACCTTTTAATTTGGACTCGGCTAAAGTGGAATGTGGTTTTGGAGCTGCTGAGGAGGAGGAGGAGGAGGA